AGCCCACAGCAGCCTCTATGCTTAACGCACAGATGTCAGTCCAGCTTATGAGAGTTTCGAAACTGTTCCCAATCAGCTTTTTCGGTGAGCCATTTAGGTACTTTTGAAGCCCATTTATATGATGTTGGTGTACTGAAAGCTGCCGAGAAATGGTCACTTCCTTAAAGATTATAATAGTTTTCTATTGAAGTCGGGGTAAGAGCACCGCAAATGCAATGAGTAGGCCTATGGAAGAGTAGGTACTGTTAGCGAGGCTGTAGTATGTAAGCTCATTCCGATTCAGAAGACAAGCGCTGGAAGAGAAAAGAAACTGTTCGATTAGGTGTCTTCGCGTGCCACAACGAGAGTTTCCTTATAGACTACTACGCGCATTGAAGTCCCTTAGGAGAAGATAGGATTTCGGAACTTCAAATATTAAGGACTGGAATTCATGTTTGTGCACTTCGACATGTAGAAGTATGTTTACAGGCAAAATGGTAACCAATTTTTTTCAAGTACCACTTGACCAGTCACTGCCTCAAGAGAAGCTTGGAGTTTTAAATGTTTCCAAGCTATCGCTTAGTTAATTATAACAGCTACACCTTCAAATGATGCTAGAGAATGATAACGGTTTTTGCAGAAAATAATTTAACTGCGTAAAAGTTATTGTGTTGAAATTTTAGGTGCGTTTCCTGTACACACAGCACTTTTGATAAGTAACTGTGCAAAAGTTCATGAACGTCGTCTGGGTGCCTGAGAAGGCCCCTGACGTTACAATGTATAATCTGAGTGTTCGTGGTAAACGTAAAGTTGTCTACGTTCAGAGAGGGACTTGTTTAATTTGAAAGTTTGTACTGAAGTAACAGGGCTGTCATCAGGCCCTATTTTTAGCTTTTTCGTTCTTTGGCGTGCACCGAAGAGCCGTGCCTTTCTTTCGGCAGCAGGGGTATTCATTGCCGAAAGGGTATTCATTGCAGGCGTATCCATTGCCTCCTCGGAAGCACTGGATCCGTACATGCGAGCTGGTTGTCCGAAGTTTAGGCCTCGCCTGGTAAGGTGAAGCCTTGAGACCTGACGATCTTGAAGTATCCGGTCTTAGTTCACTAGACGGCGGAGTAGACTCTGCTACGGCCGCCTTCGGGACATGCACCACAGCCGACGGCTCGCTCTGCGAAGGCTAAACGAGTGGTGAGGGCTGTTGCGACGCTGCCCTCTGATGTGCCGTATCAGAATATGTGGGGCCATAAAATTGCGAGACTCTTATTCTTGCTTCTTTAAATGTGACAATTTTTACCTTTCGTGTGAGGACCATGAGTATGCGGCATTATTTCAACTAAAGTTCTACAGTGTGCCGGTTTTCTATTTCTCGGACGAGTGGCCCAAAACAGCACATAAAGCACAAGCTTGCCGACCACGACAGCTTTGTGAGCCCTAGCCATATCTGTGAGAGTGGAAGCAATAGCGGGAATTGAGAATATATGGCCTTATAGAAATCTGTGTATACCCCACTTGAACGGTTTCCGGCAGATCGCTCAAAACAAAGGTCAATAATAAGTGTTTACTTGGCGTTTCTTCATTTTCTTTTCTTATCCTAATTCATTACACATTGGTTACGCTCTGGCTCTTCCGTCCTTTCAGAAGGTCAGCTTCGGTCAAGTTAAGCAAATCTCTGTCCGATACTACCCCTTGAGCTGCGTTATAGAACTGTGCGGTGTAATACTAACTGGTGTACCGCCAAAATTTGTAAGAGTGAAACTTTTCGAATAGACCTGCATCTAACATCTAAAGAAGCAGATCTCCGCTGGCCATTTTGATAACCTCATGCCCGGCACTTAGATTGTTTGTTAAACACCTTGCAACTACGAAAGGTGACATAGTTCTGGCTTGCTTATGGCTTTTCTTCAAGTGTATAACATGGAAGTGAGAGAATATTTGTTTTAGCCGGTTCCAAAAGTTTCAGTCTTCGGTACGTACCCGCTTTGAGGAGGCACGATCAATCCGGAAAGCGAATGCTTTATGCATGCTAATTGTATGTGGTTCCGCAGCATTGGCGGCCACCCACCACGGAACCCAACGAGGGGACGCTGGAAGTTTGCGGATGATGAAAGCCTGCAGACGTGAGCCATACAACACTGCCATAACCCGATGCACCTAGACCAAGCTAAGCTATTTGCACAGGGTTAACGCTTGCCGCCAGAAAAATTGGAAGGAAACAGAAGGAAGAAGTGGACAGGAAAAATAAAAAAAGAAGTGAGAAAGGCGAAGACGTATGGAGAGAGAAGTAGGAAGAGGCTACTGCCGATTTCTCCTGGATGGGTCAGCCCAGGCGGGCCGTCTACGTGAAGCCGAGGCCAAATGCTTGTGTTGCCTCCACCGGGGGGCCTCATTCAATCACCCGGCATTGTCTCAACCCCAGGATTCTCTTTTTCCCGGACACGGCTCAGCAATGCACGGCTAGGCGTGGGAGTCAGTCTAAACTCCCCCGTTAGCTCGGGTTCGTGGTGAGACGACGCACCAAACGCCTGTCCTCACAGACATCCCTGCGGGGGTATTAGAGTACGAAGTGAGCGCATGTTACGTAGGCGCGCCGCGGCGAGCATCGAAGATTGCGTGCTATGACGTCATCGAGGCCTCCCGCCTGGTGGCGCCACCCGATCTTCTCGGCGGCCATGGTGGCAATAGCGTGTTCTCTGCATTAGCAGCAAGATGGTGCTAAGGGTGCGCTCGTTGCACCACTCGTAAACATCTACTTTGCCAGCGAGACGTATACTCACCTATGTACGCGTGCGCTTATCTTGTGAAGGGAGCACATGACGAACAGATGGGACTACGCTTCTCTGGAGCATGCAGCCGGCCGTTCCGACTACCATTTTCTGCATAAATATGTAAATACGGGCGCCGTAACGATACGGAACATGATCATACTGAGTACTAGATCCTTGTGCTAAACTTTGAGCGTGAACTGAACCTTGTGACCAACGTGAGGTAGAAGCCGCGGCCAACAACAGTGTCGACAGCCACGCACTCCGATGCTCCTGTAAAGTGGAATTTTATATGTACAAAGAGACAGAGCGCACAAAGGCTCTCTGCATGGGCCCGGTTTCCGAAATGAGCGCGCTGGTAAAACAGTGGCGTAACAACTGTTACACTTGTTAATTCGCGCTCATTCTCTTTATACCTATGTGTACGTTTCTTGCGTACTTCTTGTTTGATCAGCGCGTTAAATGTCGACCTGTGAACGTATTTAGTTCGCGTTCATCTTGTGTGTGTTCTTTTTTTTGCGTCCTTTTGTGCTTCAGCTATGTGCTGCACGTTTCATCTGCCTACCGTTTTGTTTCGAAACCATCAAATTGGTTGATATTGCATTCATTGCTTATCTTTTGCGGCAGAACTGTGGATACTTTTGTTACGTAAAGATCAGGCTCATTGAAAAGCTATTGACAAGTATAACCTCGAATATTGTAGTCACTGGTGTATTTAAGCGTGCAGCTACAAAGTATTGGAAAGACTCTAGTTACTGGCATGAGTGACCTTGCTTCAGTTTAAATATTTCTGGTACACTATTTGTCGGTTAGAAGTAATGAGAATGTTTCATTGTTGAAATTGTGCGTGTTGTTTTGTTTGAAATAAATTGTTATAGGATTCTTGGCCTCTCTTGAAAATTGTTACAATACCAGTCTCGGGCCTCTTTGAAAATTGCTCCCTTGCTATTGCAAAACTATTCGAAAAGTATTCAATTTCTGCTCGGAATCAATTCGGTCTCATCACTATTCTATTCGTATTCGATTCAATTTTAGAATTTTCTTATTCGCGCACCCCGATTCAATACCTCAACGACCATTGCCATTTGAAAAAAGGCCTTTTGCGTATCTCATACAAGAGTCACCTCTGTAGCACAATTGGCGTCAATATTTGAAAAACATATCAAGATTGATCACCAGAATAAGTGAAATTGGGAATACGAATCTTAAAAAGTTTTTAGAGCTTTTTTTTTCACTGTCAGTGCCAACAATTGTGAACGAGTGGCGTGCATAATACAAATAATGCGTACGACCATGTCTGCGTATCTCATGAACACACTAATTAATAAAAGAAGTATGTGATGAAGACGGCCACGCGGTGCAACGGTCATGCGCTCCTTTTTATTTGTTTGTTCATTTCACAGTCACATGGTGTCACTTTTAGTTGATCATTTTTTTTCTTTTGCTGTAGTTCTTTTTCTCTCTGTCTTTTCCCCCTTTTACGATGCTCTTGCTCGTGCGTTTAGCACCGCGCAATCTTTGTGCGTTTGAATGTACATATTCTTGATCGGCAATAATAATGCAGCATGTGCAGAGCACAAAAGTATGAATTTCACTCAACCCACGAGGTGTTCTTGGCATTACATTACGACGCGCTAAGTTAGCATGATCTGACTTCTAGTGGCGCACGCTGAAGTTCTTTCAGGCGTATGAGCATGCCATCTAGTTAATGTTTCTTCCACATTCGCTTTCGCATTTCGTGGGTTTTCTGAAGATGTTGCCGTCAATGAACAGCCTCCCGCAGTTAGAGGATGACCAGGCCCAGGAAACTGTCAAATTCTAGCGATGGCTGTAAATGGCGAAAAAATTGACACGCAGCAAGTATCGTTTTGTGCGCGCTTGATGGAACTACTTTCTCCTCTTATAGCAGTCAGATAAGTTAGTGTGCGTTTTTCTTGTTAGGGGCGAGTAATGCTGTTAGAATTGTTATTTCAGGGTGTATCAAAAGGCCGGTAAAAGGGTAGTTACCACATTGTTTTTCATAAAAATTGAGGAAAATATTTTTGCATTACTATTACCATTAGTGAAATACCGGTGACTGAGTTCAGGTGGAAATTATCCTGATGCTCAAAAAGCACCAGCCCATTGGCATCAATAGCGTTTCTGTAGGTTAATTCGCTTAAGTTGTTCCGCGGTTAGCCGCGATACTTTTTATCGATCGGCATTACTGAGCTCCGTTTTAATGCAGCTTCGATACATCATTGCGAGCTTGTGTTTCAGACTTTACATGCCGCTACGACAAAGCGAACGCGCCTAAATCCTGTGAACCATGTCAGCTGCTGTGCTACACTGACGTTCGGCTGCGCAGTCTCCAGCGAGAAAACTCAACGCCAGTAAATCGCTCAGAAACTGCCTACGAAAGCGGATCATGATGCACAATGTGGGCGTGCTCACCGGTGAGTGAAAATGCGTTGCTTTGCATCTAATTATGGTCGCTTTCTTTTGCATTCACTGCAGTTTTTCTCAATTCATAAGACTTTTCGACTTGTACAGCTAATGATGATGATGATGATGATGATGATGATGACCTGTTATGGATGGCGCTCACCCACAGAAGGGGATGGGCCAAGAACCGGGAGGCATGGTACTTAAATGAAACTAAAATGCAAATGAAGCCAATCTGAAAAAGTAGTTCAAAAATAATGCTACCAAAAAAACAAAAATATTTGCTGAGCAAGCGGTCAAACCATCTCTTGTTTTTGATAGACATAACTATAAATTATAAACTAAAAATCTGAAAATGTTGGGGTTCACTAGCACGGTAATCTTTTAGTTGCATTGATGTAATCAAACACAGTGGAGCATACATCCCTGTGGCAGTAACCAAATGAAGTTCCGCGAAGTGATAAAATTACTGGTAGATTTACTTGTATTCCTAGTTTTTGTAACGGGGCTACTAAAAATTATTTTCTCTGATAAGAATAACGATGGCAGAATAAAAAGAAATGTTCAATTGTTTCAATTTCGTTGCACCAAATGCATAGCGGTGACGCCTTGAGTCGAGCTTTGTTAAGGTAATAATTTAGTTGCGGAACTGCACAGCGCAATCTGGTATAAGTGAGCTCTAACTGGCTAGATACACACCACTGTTTATTCCAGCAATAGCTTAAATGCTCGAAATCTTCGAATTTATCCTAATTACATTTTCCCCACTGAAGGCGAGCGTTTCGGAACCTTAGCGCTGTCACATAAGCCGTATCTGGCAAAATTGAAATGGTGGGCACACCCAGGGATACTGCTGCTAAAGAGTCCGCCAGTTTGTTCAAATATAATCCGCGGTGGCCCGGCACCCATAGCAAATGCAGTTTTTTACGTTTTTTCGGTGCTAAATGCCGAAACGTATTCATCAGCTCTACGTTTACTGCCGCAGAAAATGCATTACAAACTGATAACGAATCTGTAATGATAACTGCTAATGATTCGCTTGACGACCACTTGCGTAGGGCAAGAAGAATGGCCAATAATTCTGCAATGAATACCGGGGTACAATCTGGGAATCGAATCGAAAAGGACCAGTCCAAAGAAGGAGAGAAGATGCCAACCCCAGCCTATTCTTTTGACACAGATGCATCAGTCGCAATAATATTGCTTATTTCTAGGTGAGCTAGATAATCTGCGAACTGGTCATTTAAATACCTATGTGCCAATTGTTTTGCGTTATGAGGAAATATATCATCAAATTGTATGCTAAGCATTCACTTTAGGTTGTGTATTGGACCAATATGTTCAATTTTTACATTCGATTGCTGTAGTAGCGCTTGTGCAAATACTATTTGCGGGGTGTGTAGTCGCGACCAATGAGTTTCGAAAAATAAAGCCGGTTCTTGAATGAAAGCGTAAAATGAAAGTCTTTGGTGTGAACTGTATATCTTAAAGAATGCTCGCACAGTAAGAATTTTAAACCTATTTAGCAGAGAAGGTAGGCGAGCTTCCATATACAACACGTTATTTGCAACAAATTTTGGTAGACCCAGACACAAACGCAACGCTTCTCTTTCCAGCAGTATTAGGGGTCTCATTTTATGAGCTGCGCTGCCAGAAAATAATACACATCCGAATTCTATAATGGGCCGTACATAAAGTTTATATATCATTATTAGCACATCTCTTCTTAAACCCGCTTTACGGTTTGCGAGCTTCCGTAGCCACCCCATGGCCCGTGTTGCCTTGGAGTGCGCATCATCAATGTGACTTCTCCAATTTAATGTGTCATTATATAGGATGCCCAAATATTTAAGGGAATTCGCCTGTGGAATGAGCTCCTTGCTGTACATTAACGAGATGTTGATAGGCTGCAGAAAAGAGAATGCAAGAAGCGCACTTTTCTTTACGTTCAGGGTCATATGAATGTTTTTAAGCCATCTTTCTATGATATTAGGATAATTTTGTAGACTCTGGTATAGGGATTGAAGGTCGGTATTACTTGCAAAGAAAGCAATATCGTCCACGTACACATATAACTGAATATCCTTAGTTGATGGAATGGACCTTAAGAAAATGGTAAATAAAACTGGCGACAGGACAGCCCCCTGTGGTACGCCACGTGTCTGCTTATATCTATTTGACGAGTACCCATCTTTAAAGCAGTAATATTCTCTCCCTCTTAGAAACTCCGACACCCAAGCTGTGATGTAGTTGGGATAGTGGTGATATTCCATCTGTTTTAATAAAATTCAATGCCCAACTCTATCGTACGCTTTAGCGAAATCTAGAATAACTAAAGCACAATATTGGCGCCGACGCCGAGCCAGTTCCATTCGGCTCTCTAAATCAACATGCGCACACCGTATTGAGCTACCGGATCTAAAACTAATTTGACTGGGGTGTAATATTGCATTATTATCAACATATTTCATTACCCTGGCATTCAGAACTCTTTCAATTAGCTTAACCAGATTCGACGTGAGTGATATTGGCCTTACATTGTCCAAGGCGAATCCTTTTTCCTGCTTTTTAAGAAGTGGAATCACTTTAGACAGCTTCCATTCCGCAGGTATCCAAGCTTTTCTCAAAGAAAAATGATATGCAGACCTTGTGAATGATTGAGATTGTCGTCTTTGTTGTCACATTCGCTGAAAATATTTCTTACAGCTGAACTTTGTAACACAAATCACATCATTAAAGAATAGGTTTTGCCTGTTTCTGCTTAAAATGAGCATGCTGCAACATATGCTCATAAAGTCAATGCATTGCACAGCCAGATAAACCTTTAGTACATATACGTGTGTGTACTTTTTTGTAAGTTTACAATCAATGATATGTCATGATCAAGAAAGACAGACGCTGGCGCTTCGGCGCGCGGGTAGCTAGAGCAATGAAGAGAAGAACGAACTCAGAATAAGAACAGCTGGCCCAGGATCGGGTGTTGTATCTTGTTCTGTGTCTCGCTCATCACAATGGCGCAGCTGACGAAGAAGAAGTCTCATGTCCCGGCTTCGTCATCTAGGACAGCCGTGATAAGCGCCGCTTGAGGACGGCGTCAAGGCCTCCTCGGCAGCTGTTCACCTGCCGCCACTGCCACCACCGTTCGGGGACGGCGTCAAGGCCTCCTCGGCGGCTGCAGTACACGCTACCGGTACCAATTCACAAGGGACGCCGTACACGCCTCCTTGGCGATGGATTCTGCCGTCAGCGCAGTCGACAAGTGAACCCTCTGCGGGAAGCCACTGGTACGTGTCTTTGTGGTTCGTTGGCGAAGCGGGCATCTCCATCGAGGAACGCCGTCCACGCTTCCTTGGCAATGGGGTCCCACCTGCCGCTTCAGCTACCTTTCGAACCACCAGTGGACGGCGTCCAGGCCTCCCCTGGGGTTGCAGGGCATGACCCTACTGACACCCTGCCACCATTTCGCGGCAGGGATCCGCACCGGCTCCTGTCCTTTGGGAATGCCGCTCACGCTTTGCATGGCCTACATTCCCATTGCCGCACTCTTTCAACATACGAGCTGCCAGGGAACGCCGTCCAGGCTTCTCTGCACGTCAACCTCACCAGCGTGAGTGCTGCAACCGCTACTCATTCGAAGACCACGATCACCAACGCTTCGGACTTCACACACGACAGCGCCGTGAACCTGCGGCGCACCATCGCGCTACTCCGCGTCAAGACTAACAAACTGACAGCGTCAATCTCCGAGCGTGCTCTTACAATGTTGCCAGAGTTGCATGCCACTAACGCTGTGTTGGACGTAGCTGCCTCGCACGACCTTGAGGCAAGCTCATTGGAGCAACGCAGGCAGCTTTGGGGCACCCTCCTGCAGCTCTCAGACCAGCTCGACGGCGTTGCCTCAGTGATATCAGCATTCTCACGTGCCGCCCCACCATCTCCGTTCACCTACGAACTGCCGTAATTCGACGGGGTCCGGAACGATGCCGACAGCTGGGTGGCAACCATCAACACGCTAGCAATGCGCGCGGCCTGGACAGAGAATCAGAAATGGTATGTGGCCATAGACCGTCTTCGAGAAGGCGCAGCGGCATGGCACCGGTATGAAGGTTGGAAGCAGCAGTCATGGGCGGAGTGGAGCGTCAAGCTTATAGCTGCTTTCGGTCTAATGCCCTGTGCCACCTGACCATGTAACTCGACCTTTTCTCAGGACGGAACTCGGGAAAAGCCCGGCCTAGAGGATGCGATTCGAGCGCCTACCATCATGGCATCTCTCGGTGACCACGATGTAGGAAAAAATCACGATCATGTAACTCTGCCTTGCACAGACATTTCTGCTGTCGTATTTAGAGCTCCTGAGAAGCGCCGGCTCGATGGTGCAGCTGTATGCGGTGGGTCCCTGATGGCAAGCTTTGGGCAACGCTCCGCAAGAGGCCCCAACGCAGGTCGTCCGGTCCACTTAGAGGAAGCGGCCCCCATCCTACTGGATATTCTACCACCTAGTGAGACAGGTCTTTCCGCTGAGTCGAATAACATCCCATCTGACCAGCCGGAAGAGGATATGCGTGCGACGCATGCACTGCCTGAATCGGTAGAGTCTCCGATTTTGAGAACGGCTTCCGCCGAGGATCTCCGGTCAGTACGCAGCGTGGCTTCAAGAATCGCTGACTTCACAGCGTCCGGGAGCCTCATAGCGACAACGCTGCGCAAGTCACTGACTACGCAAGTCACTTCGCATGAGCCACGCCACAGGTCAGCACGAGGACTTCACCCCAAGTTCGTGAAGATGTATAATCACGCCGAAAAACATCTCTCAATCCGTAGAAAATTGCGCAGATGGCTGCACAAGATGCTACTGGTTTCGTTGCTGGATCCGCCATTTACTGCCCTGTTTTCTAAAATGTAGTGGGACAAACGGAAGCGTTCTGTGATCATCCTGCGACCACGTCGATCCAGTCGGGGCCGCCCGCCATGAACCATCTCCAAGAAAACCACAACACCGCAGTAAACTTCT